CCCCAAAACCCCAAAACCCCAAAACCCCAAAACCCCAAAACCCCAAAACCCCATTTCTTGATTCTAATATTGAACTTTAATGTTTGAGCCAAATTTCTTCAGAGATGTTTAGGAATTTAATCCAGAAAAGATCAAGGAGCAAGCATACTTGTCACACAATACAGAAGAGCCCAGCTAGATCTTTAAGAGTCCTTATACGAACCTGACAAAATTTGGGATAATTTAGGGAAAATATATCATTAATAGTTAGAATCGCTTTTCTTGCTCAATAAGGTCTCTCCATGATTTAGAATACTCATCAAATTTTGACATGAATTCATCCTGGAAATCCTTTTCCTTATCTCTGAGTTTTTCAAGGTCCAGCCCAAATTTAGGAATATTTCCTAGTTTCGGAACTGGCTTTGGCCCAACAGATTGGGTCTTTGGGGGTAATGCTAGAGGAGGAATCTTGACAGGTAGTGGAGCTATTTTCGGAACTTCAGGTTTAGCTTCAGCTATTTTTGACCCAAAGTCTAATTTTGGAATCGCTGAAGGCACTTTAGGCTTGGGAGGCTCGACGATCATTTCACCCAAGGGATAATCGTACCCTGAAGAAGATGAAGACCGGGATGATATAGACTCTTGTTTTTGCTCCTCTATTTTGTCAGCTTTCCTCTGCTCATTAGAAAAAGGGGTTGAGCTATCTTTATTTGTCACTACATAAATACTTACTCTCTACCATTGATTTTTGGGGCTGACTACCCAGGATTTTATCTCTTATCTGAGTAGATTGCATAGTTGTCTGAGTTTTCTTCCCTGTTGCCTTATTTTGAGGGTTCTTCATGCCAATATTCTTTAAAGAAAGAGGCGGGACGATATTTTCAGCTTCTCTGACTCCCTTCTTTTTTGAACTTTTATTATCTTGGTAATTCATATCAATTTCATTATCGACGAATTGATTGATTTTGTCAACGTTGGCGTCACTGCTATCTCAGGGTATTTTCTTGATACTGCCTTTCTTCTCACAGATGGTGAAACCAGCAGAGATATGGGATTTCTTCCTATCACTGTCCTTTACAGGATCAATATTTTTGTTATTAGAATCCTTGAAGTATTCAATATTCGTGTATTTCAGCACTTTTAGCTTTGAGTGGGCCTTTCCTTCAGGTTTTCAAGGAATCGCTTTTATTTCTAAAGAATTAGGCGAGGATTACCTTCGTTTCTAACAGACTCAGCCTTGCGGTTCGAGTGAACTTCTGAATGCACTTTGAGCAGCTCCTGCTCTTGTATATTGATATATGACTCATAAACTTTACTGATCTTGTCTACGAATTTACTAGTACTTGAGCAATTATTAGTTTCAAGAAATTCACGGATCTCAGCCCGGATGAGGTCCAGGCTCTGGCTCCCATGGCGTAACGAAAAGCCTTGGTGGTAAGTATTTGCTCTGAGATTTGAGTCCTCTCTTTCACTACCCAAGAGATGTTTCTCTTGGGATGAGGCAAGATTTGAGATTTCTTTTTTAATATTACTGTTAGTTTGCAAAAAATCCTAAAACTTTAATACAATAATGCTACTCTATTGGTGCCAGTGTAGTTAGACCCCTTGGTATTCATTTGTGGCAAACTGTCGTTATCCACGAAGGAAGAGAGCTCCTGATTCTCAAAGTTCTTATTTTGGTTAAACAAAGATCCGGTGATCTGCCTTCTTTTGCATTTTGATGCTGGAGATGCACTAAATTTTTGGCTGTCAGAATCCTTCTGGATTAGTGAAGAGTCATATGATAATTTATGATTTTTTGGATTGTCAGTGTTCCTTTTCCGATCTTCTGAAGACAATGACTGTATGAACTCTTTGGTATACCCACTCTTTTTATTTTCGATAATCTGATTCTAAAGGGTTAACAAAGCTCCTTAGAATTTTTTCTGAGTATTTCAAGCATATAGACATAAAAATTGGGGTAGTTTAAGACGGTATTATAACTGAATTTACAATTTGCTCTAAACGAACTTCTCACCCACCTTTTTCAGTGATTTTATTTAAGCTCATCCATTTTTCATCCATTTCTGAAGTAAATCTCGTCTGCTGGAGGTAACTAAAAGGCAATAAGATGAATAACCCCACTTAGGATTCATGCCAAGGTTGCTCCTGACTCTATAGGACCCATCCTGCTTAGGTTTAAAACTGTGATTTAGGTAGGAAGGAGATGACCTTTGTCATGCCTCAGGTGTACTGACGTGTTTGAAATATCTTACTTCGTTTTGTACCTAGATAGGTTAGGTTTTCCCAATTACACATTTAGTATTCTTAACACTTTTATTATCCAGCATAAATGCTATATGTGGAGTTATTTTGGGTCAAGAGGGGATTACCTTTGTGAGGGTTATGCTGTTTGTATTTTCTGTTGAGATTTCCGATTTTATTCTTCCTTGTTTGACCTCCTAAGCCCGGCTTTTGGTACTAAACCCTGCGAGTTCTTTGGCTTCATGGTCATCAAGCTTGATCAAAGGCGTATTGGACAAGGAGCCTCGCTTGTAATTTGATATGTTACTCAGTGGCGGCTTGGGAATATTAGGGTCTTCAACTAGATTTTTATTGGCTCCTTGGGGAAAATACCTACCCTTTTGGAAATGGCCTTGGTAATGGACTGAGTCTTTTGGGTAAAAACTGTTTAGTTTATGATCACTCATGTTGACAATATGAGGTTTTATATATTTATGATTGGTGGCGCTAAGGTTAGCCATATGGGAACGTTTGGCATTAATACGGAGCCCATTGGCCTTAATTCGTTCCCTTTTGTTACTAAAAGACCTGATACTCTTCCGATACTGAGACTTGGGGTGTTTAGAACCCTTCTTCTGCCTCACATTGTTGGTTGTCTGAGAGTACATATAGAGACTTCGGTCATTAGCACGAGATTTCTTCCCAGTCGTGGCTTTCGAGATAGAGTTCATATTTGATTTATTTATATAAATTCGAAAGCTGTTATAATTCCATTAGTTTTATGGAAATTGGGGTTTTGGGGTTTTGGGGTTTTGGGGTTTTGGGGTTTTGGGG